TCACCACTACGAACGATTCTCGTAAGTTTTATCTAGAAAGGAGCACTGGACATCAAACCACATCACACATCAAACCACATCACAAGACTATCTAATGTTCTCTTTCGGAGAGAAGAAAACACAACAAAACAGTCACACCAAAACAAGCTATGTTATGTTTCTAAGAGGTTATTTTAGTAGTATACTCTTTAAAAAGATGGTTCTTCAAGGGTTCTTGAAATAATAAATAGAACTATTTCATGCTTAAATGGTTCTTTTCATGGTGACATTGTTCCTCAGATTGACAGAGAATGTGTTGTACGTGGTTTTATATATAACCTTTTCGAAAATTTCTATAAAGCACCAAAAGGTGTTTTGACATCATGAAAGTAGCAGAATGCTTTTTGGTGCTAGATAGAACCATACACAAAATCAATCTGAAGAACCATTTCACCATGCAGGGAACCATTTAAGCATAAAATGGTTCTATATATAATTCAAGGTTCTGGATAGAACCATTCCCTTTACTAAAGAACCCTTGGAGAACCATCTTTTTTTAAAGGTGTAGTGCTCAGTAAATATGGGTTTGCTAAACTTATCAATGCAAATTTTTGGCCTAAAATGCATTTTAATCAATTTATTTTAATCCCTTCATGATGGAGGGGTACATGAAGGGTTTCTAAGGTAAAATAGCCCCCAAAGAACACTTATTTTTTCAGATTTACCACTACTTTACTATCAATCATCAACATTACATATAAAAACTCAGAAGAGAAGTGTAGGTTCACTAGTGGTTTTGGACAGTAAGTAAAATGGATATATTTATGCTGTAGACATGGCGACGCAGGGTTCATTTCACCACTATTGCGAAGAATCATATATCTCAACCATTTAATTATGTATGAAATTTTAAATTCGGTGGAATTCTCCTTTAGGGGAACAGTGAATATTTAAGCACGTGAAATCATGAAAATGCTACAGAAAGTTTCTTTAAAAGCTAGATTTGTGGATTATAGTGACCAGATCTCTTTCGAGACGAGATTAGCGCTCCTGAGGAACATCAGGAGCCGTTACGTTAACGACCAACACGAGTCTGAAATCAGCATCTTGTTCGAATTTTCCGTTCCATCTTAAACATGCAGCAGCCTGAGGTGCCAGAATATAACTGCAGCACCACTTAAGGTGGAACAGAAAATTAAAACAAGAAGCCGCCGAAAGAGAAGCTGGTTTAGCTTTGAATAAACAGTAACATTAAGAGAGATGTTACCCAGTCAGAAACACAGCTGAGCTTCAAAGGCGGAGCTCTTCGTGTCCCCCCAGAAAAGATTCCGCATTCAGAGTCTCAGGTTCGACAACAGCTTCTCAGTAAAAACAGAAAAGCGTTCTCAGTTCAACACGGGCGCCATCTGTTTACATCTGTTACCATGAGACGAGAGAGGCGCAATGCGGAAGTGCTTACGCAATATCCGGCAGCACGCCTTTACAGGGGAATTCCACCGATTTTTCAAAATGTGTGTTTATTTCACTGGTTGAGATGTAAAGAAAGTCATTCAGAGTGGTTTGGTGTGAAATGCTCCATTGTAGAGATCCTTTCAGATTTCTTTGCAGTGGTGGTGAGAGGAACAAGGGGTTGCCGTGTCTACAACACACATAGAGCCATTTTATTTACTGTCTAAAACCACCAGTGAACCTACAGTTTTAGACTGAAACATCAGGCCGTGTATTCACAGCCAATTTATGTAATAACTTTCTGTGAGGGAGCTTTTAGAGGTGGACGTCTGGTTCCTATCACCACCACTGTGAACAATTCTGACTCTGTAAGTTTCTTTAGAACAGAGCATTTCACACCAAACCACTCTGAATGAGTCTGTTTACATCTCAAACTTTTAATTATGCATAAATTTTAAATTGGTCGAATTCCTCTTAAAATGACAAAGAACTAAACGTTAAAAATAGGAAATAATATATATATAATACAGCTTCATTTTAAAAGAAAATATTTTTGTGCTCATTTTGATGCAAAGAATATCTTGTGCAATCTTTTACACAAAAATAAGAAGACAGAAAACAAGTAACAGATTCTTACATTTTTAATGTGCTTAAAAATGTTTTAATCACCCCCGTGACAGAAGGATAAGTGACTTTATTTGCTTTCTCCTGATATATTTATTAATAAAGTGCAAATAAAAAACATGAACATAGACACAAGATGGCAGTAAAGACTCAGATAAACACTCCTGACTCGCACTGACAGGATTCACTTTTCAAACTGTGGTAGGATGAAATTATGATCTTGTACATATTTGCATCACTATACAAATATCATAAATGAATCTAAATAAAGAATCTCATAGTTTTTAAGATAACAAATGTGCTGGTAAAGGGAGCTCTACGATTTTTTTCTTATATCTGCATATTTAAATAGTTATGACGTAAGTCATTCAGAGTGGTTTGATGTGAAATGTTCGGTCATGAAAAACTTACAGAGTCAGAATTGTTTTAAATGGTGGTGATAAGAACGAGATGTCTCATGGGAGGATACCTCTAAAAATATATATTATTTTCTAAAAAGCCATTTTATTTACCATTAAAAATGAGCAGACAATCTACAGGGGTCTACTGTCAAAGTCGGCAAAAAAGTGAAAAAAATCAAATTTTAAAGAAATAATAATAATTTCACATGGAATTAAGGTTTTTAACACTAAGTTGTGAAATGAAAAAATAAACAAAAAAATGTTTTCACTGTCACTGTGAAGAAAGAGGAGTTAGATTCTCTAAAAGCACAGAAAGTTATTAAATTAAATTGCTACAACAATGTTTGTTTCATGATAGTTTTGAGAAAGACCTTTGGCCTAAAATATTTCTTAGAACCCAAAGATCTTTTTTCCTGATTTAACACTATTGACCATTATCAACATCACTTCAAATTCTTTAAAAACATTAAAGCAGGGCAGTGCTACAGACAACAGACAGGTGAGACAGATAACAAGAAGGCAGGACTACGGAGGAGACAAAGACCAAAACAACAGCAAAAGCACATGGCTCACATAGACAAATGCACATGGGAGGCTGAAACAGAGAAACACAAGGACGGGACAAGATAGGATGTTACAATTACATTTAAAGCTTTAAAGACCAAAGGAACAACTCTGACAGAAGACGGCTGTAGGTTCACTGGTGGTTCTGGATAGTAAATAAAATGGCTATATTTGTGTTGAGGACACTGTGACTTCTGGTTCCTATGACCACAACTGTAAAGCAAGCATCGTAGAGTCACTTTCTCTATGATGATTCATTGAACACCATGTTCTCTGCTTAATTTAGATCCTTTTCACTCACCATCCAACTCGTATTCCATTTAAATTCTGCAATCATGACCTGAGCATCATCTTTTGTCCTCGATTTCCACCATCCTTGTTTTCTTCACACCTAAACACCATTCAGCCCCCTTACTGCTGACCCAAACTCTCTATCTAACTGCTGTGGCATGGTCAATCACTACTCTTCTCTCTTCTCTTTTGCTTATATGCTTGTTTTTAAAGCTGCGTCTTTAAGACTGATATATGTAAATGACTGGCTGTCCTGTATTGTGCCTCAGAAAGCAGTCTGGGCTAAAACACTCCTTAAAACTTTAATGTGAATGGGCGGGGCTAACTTGCTGTGTGGGCAGTTTTTGCTGAATGGGCAGTTTTACACTATATTTTGAAAAGTATCCTTCTAATGAGTGAGTTCAGCTACTTTAAGGTGGAGATAGCTTGCAAAATCTCCATAGAAAAGCACTGCCAAAAGGATGGGACACTCTGAAGCAGATGCACATGAGCCTAAGGTCACCATGTGCAGTGCCAAGTGTCGGCTGGAGGGGTGTAAAGCCTCCCAACATTGGCCTGTAGAGCAGCGGAACTGTGTTCTCTAGAGTGATGGTGCTCCATATAATATCTGTGGGTTGAACTGGAGTGATCCAGAACTGATCATCCAACATCAGTTCCTGATCTCACTATCCTCACTAATCCTCACAGCAATGTTCCAACACCTAGTGTAGCCTTCACAGAAGAGTAGAGGCTGTTACTGCAGCAAAGGGGGAAACATCCTATTAATACTCTTCATTTCCTTTCTTCTTTTCTTGTAAAGTTACCATTTCTTCAAGACATTAGGATTTCCTCCAACCACATCGATTCATTTGCCCTGCTGCCAGTCCACAGCATCTTACAGTGAGGGGAACTGGGCCTCCTGTGTTCTGCAGCTCTGTGTTTGACTCCTCGGGGGGTAGATGGACTGATGCATGTGGCTGTGGAATTATTCTAGCATCAGTGCCCATCCACTGCCACCATTATGAAAAAAAGCCACTGCGGTTATGTAATAGTCATGGTTAGATAAGGCCACACCCCCTCACAACATGCCCCTCCCCCTTTTAGCTTGGGCATCATTCTCCATCAGCTGTGTGAGGCTTTATATTCACTCAGCGCTGGGCATTTTTCTAGACTTTTCTTGTGCGTGATGAACGAAATGTCATTCCTTTGTGTGTGTTTATGTATGTTAACCCATTCACATCCAAGAGATACAGCCTGGATGAATATCTAACAGTGAACATTTGTTATTGTTGATCATTTTTGGTTTTAGTCACAATTAAATTTGGGTTTTCTAGTCACTTCTGCACATTTTACTGCACCTTTACTGTTAATTTACTGAATTTAACAAAACCTAAAATGTGGCTGTGCAAAAGTTATGGCACCTTTAATATTTTACATTAAATTTTTTTCCAATATGTTAACATTCTGCAAATAGATAGAAACTGTGCAGTAAAATTTGAAGAAGAATGCCATTTTAAAGCTCTCAGTACAGGAGGTTAACTTATTTTCACTTTGAATATCAATACAACGTAATTCAAATTAAAATTTTTGTATATGAATGTATGATAAATTGAAGAGAACCCTGACTGTTAAGACATATACTCCTCAATGTGGTGCACACATTCAATATTATTAAAATATTAATGAAGTAAAATGAAGTAAAATACTTCATTTCTTGTTAAAAGAAGACTAAATGCCTGTACGAGTAGGCTGCCATTTTTAAAAAGGAATCAAATGGTTGATCTCTCTCGACCGGTGAGTGAGGAACAGTGAGCTAAGTATCTAATTTAACACAAACATATCATTTGGCCTTTCCAACTTTAGTTCGAGTGTGGCATTACTAAAAAGAAAAACTACTGATTGTCTTGCTTTCTGCAGAACTCCAGCCCAACCATATGACATCATCACAGTGCGACAATGGTGGCCTACTAGTAGATGGAATTTGTCTCATGTTTATTATAATAAACAAAACATGTCCATTTGCTTTATGCATCATATTTTTTAGCAGTATAGGTGGTTATATGTAAATACATTGGTTTTTGTGACATCACAAAAATGATTTCATCATCAATGATTTCAGAATGGGCTTAGTTTCTATGTACTGGCTGTAAGGACCACCAGTCCAGGACTGGGAAGTGAACTGTACTTCAACATTGCTTACAGACTATACCAAACTTTTTAATTGTAAAAAAAAAAGAAGTGAAAAAGGTTCAGTTTTGCACACTATGGGTCCTTTAACGAAACGGAGTAACTGTTGCTAAACTAGCTGTTACTTACCTCCAATCAGAAGAACTAATAAGCAAAAAAACATTAGAGAGAACAGTAATCAGAGCTGTTTTCTGTCGGCAGCCTTTAGACTGTATATTGCCTCTTTCTTTCTGGCTAGACACAATATCAGCTCGAGGACAATCAGTAGGATAAAGCCAATGTTGTTCTTGCAGTGTTACACTTGCTTTCATTTATGCTGTTTTGTGCAATGCTTTTGTCCTTCAGTTTGCTGCCTACTCATATTATTTTCTGTTGCAGTGTATTTTTGCTGTGTCGTGGGCTTTATCTGTGTGTTTTTTGGCACTTTGCTGCTTTCGTACCAAATTTTGGAACCAAATTTCCTCTTGGGGGCAACTGACTCTATTGATCCGTTAGCATTTTCACTAAAAACAAGTCCAAAATGAGGTCAGAGCAATGAGAGTAAAGCTTTTGTTTCGACAAAAGGGACAGCCCAGCCAAAATGAAAAATTTAACCATTGCTGCATCTGTTGTAAACATGCTTACTCATATCCCCTTTCTGATGATGTATCGTATAAAAACTATGTGGATTTTTTGGAGTGAGCCGTTTCAATTTTTTTTCCTCTGTTAGCGAATGCCGATGGAAAGCAGATAGCTAATGGTGCTGCTCCGAAGCTAAATATCTTATTTGCAGTAAGGCTGCATGTAGACGACAAAGCGTATTCTGCCTAAAACGTCCTTGTAGCTTATGGGAGGACACAAAATTCCAAGAGCTCTACTCATTGTTCCAGAGAACACTATTTTCTCAGCTCGTCAAACATCACTTTACACAAGATAAACAATCAAAAAAAGAGGGTAAAATT